CCCGTGTCTGCAGCCCATCCCTCCACGCCCGTGCGCCCCCGGGTAGCAAATCCTGGGAGCCTGGTATACTCTAGGCCTCCTGGATGGGGTCCGAGTAGATGGGGTCGGAGGATCGCAGCGCATTTGCGATACATCGGCGATGCGGCTCGATGCGGAGCCCGCTTTTCTCCACGCAGATGGCGCCGATGCATCGCCGACGTCGCCAACGCATCGCCGATGCGTCGCCGATACATCGGCGATGCATTGGCGATGCGGCGCGATCCGTCGACCCCATCTACTCGGACCCCATCTAGGAGCCTCTATAAACCCTATCGATTCCATTCTCAGCGTCGATTAGTGATGAGCGTCGATTCTGCGTCGATTAGCGTCGACGTGGCGTCGACCCAGCGTCGACAAGCGTCGCTTCGCAAGAGCCGACAAGACGGTGTGGGAGGCTCCCATGACTTGCCACCGAACCCATGACTTGCCACCTCGCTGCTGTCCCCCTCGCTCTCGGGGGCGTCCGAGAGGGGTGAGGGCAAGGGCCAAGGGGAGGGGTGCAGTCATCAGAGGAGGAAAAGGTACCCATACCTCTACCTTTCCTTCGTTTTTCCCATGTTGGGCCTCCTGGGAGGCCCTCGTCGCCACCGCTGGATTCGTCTCGAACTCCTGATCAGGACGCACCCCGAGAGAGGTCCGGGGAGTTGTGGTATCGGTACCTCTTGGTCTCCCCAAGTCAGCACGCATAGTAAGGATGAGCAAGTTTCCAAGGCCAGCCTTGCATCCTTGCCCTTGGGCCCATCCTTAGCGACTTTCGCTGGCCGACCTCATTCGAGAAGCGTCAACATGGCCTTCCAAGGCCCCTGGCATCCTTGCCGCTCCTCCTGATTATACCGGTTGACTGTATCGTGGCCAGGGCCGTGGGATCTCCCAGAGATCTCGTGGCCCCCGCGTGTCTCAAGACGCTCCCGTGCCCCCGCCTCGTCCGGGGCACATGCCCGGGGCCACGGCCCACACTGAGCCCCCTCTTCTCCCTGGCCCCCCAGCTGCGGCGCACCGGGCTCTCCGTCCGCCGCCCCTCCCTCTGCACCCCTCCAGCAGTCCGGCCGATCCCGTGCTTCCCATTCCTCGGTGGTCCCCAAACGGGGTGGTGACCACACCGTGCGGCGAGTCGGTGGGGATTCGGGGTCATCGCACGGTTTTGGGACTCGGGTCGTTCTCCGAGGACGTCTCGGGCGACTTGGGCCTCCGAGGTCCCAAGACCGTGCGGTGACGGACCGTGCGGTGAGGTCTTGGGGGATTTCGAGGTCACCGCACGGTCTGTCACCGCACCGTTTCGGGACTCCAAAATTTCCCTCCCCCTTCCCCTTGGCACGGTCGAGATGGGTACGAAAAGGATGGATACGAAGACCGACAGCAGTTTTTGTTCATGTTGAGCGGGATTCGCTGGCGGCGTCGCCCGCCGCGGACGTTGTCCATTTGAGACCGAGGGCCGCCTGGCCCACAGCCGCCGCCGTCGGTTCTGGATCACATCTGTTGTTGGGCGCCGAACCCATTGTTACCGTGCCTTTTTCGGGCGTTCGGATCTCCTCCCTCTGACTCCCCCGCCCATCCCGCTTCCCCCCTCCTTCTTCAGCTGCAGTCGGAACCGATGACGAGGATGGGTAACCTTACCAAGGGTGCCCTGGCATCCTTGCCTCTTCGGCCCATCCTGAACCGCTTTCGAGGGCCAGCCCCGCTCGAAGAGTCTCGACATAGGCGTCCATGGGGCTTGCATCCCTACCGCGCAGGAAGGAGCGGGAAGCGGATGAGGACGATCTTAAGACGCGCTCCAGGTCAGTTCCCGGTCTGAGCGGGCGCGTGTGCGAAATATCTCCTCGCTGTCCTCAGCCTCGCCTTCCTTCTTCCTCACTCCTCGTCTCTCTCTCCTTCCTCCTGCCAGCCCTGTTCTGCCGCCCCCTCCCTTTCTTCGGATGCAAGTCCTGGGAGGTCAGATTCTGATTTTGTCCTGGTCCGAAATCCGGCTTGATCCAGCTTAATCCCGCTTAATCTGGCCAAATCCCGCTTAATCCCGCTTAATCCGGCTTAATCCTGCTTAGTCCGCAGCCCACTCCGGCGTAACAGCTCCCAAATGGGGCTTAATCCTCTTTAATATTTCAGACGAAAACCTCCCAGTAGTTGCCTCCTAATCTTCCCTCCTCGAGGCGTCGTCGAGGCTTCTCTGGGGCGATCCTGGCCAAGCCGCTCTGGCGCCGAGGGCCCGTGCCAGAGCCTCCCTGGCCAGGCTCGGGGGGGGCTCACAGCGCCTTCCCCTCTCGGCGAGGACACTCGAGACTCGAGGAGCCTTTTTGGGCCACCCTGCGAGACGAACAACGCGCACGAGGCCGAAACGTCCCCGTTTTCTTATTCGTTGTTTTGCCGATCGGCGCGGGCCCTCGCACCCCCACTCCCCCCTCCCTCCCTCCCCCTTCTCCACGGAGTAGATCTTGGCTGTTGAAAGCGTCTGTCTCGAGCACGTGGAGTCTCCCCCACGGGACGCATTGCTGCAAACAGTCGCACTAAGCAGAGATCCGGAGCCAGACCCCCCCGTTCCCTCGGGAGCCTCGAGACGAGGGTCAATGCAAACGGGGGTCAGCCAGGGCACCGGATCCTGCAGGATCCTGCGAAGACCCCCTCTGGCTGACCCGGGTTAGCGTGCCGCTCGTGGCCGCGAGGCGGCCGCGCATATTGGCTGACCCGGGTTTGCGAAGACCTGCGTTGCAGTTTTTTTTCCTGCATTGCAGTTTTTTTGGTTTCTTGCTGACCCGGGTCTGGATTGACCCGGGTCAGAAGATCCCCGGTTCCCCCCCCCTTCCGCCAAACGTCGAAACGCCGAATAAGAAAACGTTCACCATGCAGGGCTTGTTACGACCCCTCCGATGCGGTTCGATTCGTCTTCGATGGCTTCCGATTCGACTTTGATTCGACTTCGTTTTGGCGGTGAGGATTTGCGGGGGAGAGGAGTTGGACGAGAAGAACCTATTGACACACATTGTTATTGTTGACACGTTCCATGGATTCCGGGAGTTCTAGCAGCCTTCGCGCGGGGTACATTCTGCGCCGAATGTTGTCTTCTTTGCCCGGCGCCGTTGGTCGGTTACCTTGGGGGGCTATTTGGCACCTGCTGATTCCTGTTTCTCGCTGCCGAGCGCGGGGGGGGGGGGGGGACGGTGGCGCACCGCCCCGTCGCCCGCCGCCGCGCTCTGCGCGCCTCGGCGGATCTCCAGAGACCTGGCAGGGCAAATCGCGCGCGCCTCTGGAGAATTCTCCAGGGGTAGATTCAGGAGGGAAAGAAGCGCACAGGCACAATTCATCGTCGATCCCCCAGAAAATATGGGAAAATATGGGAAGTGGGGGGGAAGGCAAAAACCCAGAACACATCGGAAAATATGGGGAATGATTATATTTGTGTGTACTTATTTGTGTGTCCAGGGGCCCCTTCATAGATTTGAAAAGAATCCAGGAACGTTTCTGAAAATGTCCGGCCTATTTCTGGAGTCCTGGAATCGATATTGACAAATTTCGGAACCGATTCTGAAAACATCGGGGTCCATTTTGAAGATTTCCGGATTTCAGAATTATTCAGATGTCCTGCGCGGCGGGCGCATTGCTTCTTGGAAACGCTCTACGCTCCAGAAATAACTTCTGGGCGGTCTGACGGGCGCAACCAGCTGATTCACGCACCGCGCCGCGCGCGATTGGGCGCGGCGCGCGCCGCGCCGCGCCCTGCGCCCGCGAACAGCACTCGAAGGGATGACCTCCACAATCGCGCCACGGCAGCTGCGACTCGCGGACTCCCCACAAGCAAAACAGAATGCAGCTTGGAATCTCCGAGGGCGCTCCGATGAGCGAACATGCAACACACACATCACTCGACCCTTCGTCCCTGGAGCCCGCGCGGAAGGACGGGAAAACCTGGAACTCTTGAAAACTATCGATATCAATATTCCATGCTCCTCTGAAGAAAGTTCGATTGCTTCCAAGATCCCCGACCCATCCACGGCTCGTTTCGACCCCTCCGATGCGGTGTGATTCGACTTTGACGGCTTCCGATTCCTCGGAGGAGGAAAAGGTACCCATACCGCTACTCTTCCTTCGGCTTCCCCTTCTTGGGCCTCCTGGGAAGCCCTCGTCGCCACCCCTGGATTCGCCTCGAACTCCTAGTCAGAACGCAACCCGGGAGAAGTCCAGGGAGTAGCGGTATCGGTTTTTGTTGGTCTCCCCAGATTCGGCTTCGGATTCCCATTGGAGCTTCCGATTTCTCCCACGGTGGCCCGCAGACCGGCCGATTTCCGTTGGTTTGGCTTTTCTCCCGATTCGGTTGCCAATTTCCGCCGATCCGATGCATAACGATCGCCGATCCGGTTCATCGACTCGATTCTGGGCTCTCTTGCCGCAGGGTCGCATGACTGCTTTTCGGTGGTGAGCGGGGGGGGAGTGAGAAGGAGCAGGCCTTCTCAGAAGGCTCGGAAGTTCGCCGGCCTTCCGAGGAATTTTCTAGGCTCTCTCGGGGGGGCTAAAAATACACACCACCACCACCACCTCCCTCCCCACCTCCCTCTCGCTGGAAATAGGAGATAGGAGGAATCGACCTGGTGGTGGTGTAGATTCGTTGGGCCCTCATCTCTCCGAAGACGTTGGACAAATGATCAGAAGGCGCGAGGGCTTATGAAAAGCCCCGCCGCCTTCTGAGGATGCCTCCTCCTCCTCCTCCTCATTTCCCCCCCCCCGGCGCGCGGCCGATACTGCGCATCTTCGGGAGACTTTATCTGTCCCGTAGATGCCCGTCCTCCTCCTCCTCCTCCCCCTCCTCCTCCTCCTCCTCCTCCTCCTCCTCCTCCTCCTCCTCCTCCTCCTCCCTCCTCCCTGAGCCGCGGGTTCGACGTGGATTCGGTACGGACTCGGCATGGAATCCACACGGATGCGGCACGGATGGCTGGCACGATGAGACAGACAAGGTCCCCCAACGATGCAGCACAAGAATGGCCCGTGGGAGGGGAAAGTCAATGGTACCGATATTGTTCTTCCCCGGACTTCTCCCGGGGTGCGTCCTAACCAGGAGTTCGAGACGAATCCAGCGGTGGCGACGAGGGCCTCCCAGGAGGCCTAAAATAGGGAAAACGAGGGAAGAGTAGCGGTATGGGTACCTTTTCCTCCTCTGAGTGGGGGTCCCGTAAAGGAGGCGCTCGTCGAACAGGGCCTCGCCAGGCTCCTGGCGCAGATGAGCGCGATGGCGACGCCGACGGCGTCGGCCCGCCGCTCGCCCTTCGAGTGCAAGTTCCCGCCTGGCATCAGCATCCATGCCTACGTGGCCAGGTTGCTGCGCCTCTCCCAGTGCAGTGCAGGATGCGTCGGGGGGGGGGCCGAATACTTCCACAGGCTGAATGAACCTACCCAGTTTTGCTTCCAGGCGAGACCACGTCATACTCCACGCGCCTCCTCGTCTAGCAGCCTGACCGTTATGGGCCACCCAACGGGTAGTTTGGTATCTTTTGGTTCCCGTTTGGAAGCAATGGTGGTCAAAAGCGTGGTAGATGCGTTTGCCTCTCAAATTTAGAAAGCTGCATACACAGGTCTTCGGAGCTCCACGCAGAGCTCTCAGGGGTCGGTCGAGAAGAACGACGGCATCGAAGTAAGCTTTCGGAGCTCCACGCGGATTCCTCGGATCGGAAATGGACTCCCTCTGGCGGCGCCTCGGACGCCGCTACTGGCGCGCGGGCCCAGCGCCGGTCCAAGAGATCCGCACCAAGCTCGGAAAGATGTAGTTGTGTTCTCTCCTAGCCTCACAAGGAGGAATAATTCTGCCAAGGGTAAAAGGCCCTTGCGGCCTTTCCTCTTCGGCCCATGTCTGGCCATTTTCATGTTCGCCGGCCAGGCCGTCGGGGTACCTTTCGGGCGGGTTGGCATCCTCGGGCTTTGCGGTGCGACGCTCCTTCGGGGAAGGGTCCAAAGGAGGATGCAGGAAGGGTTCCTCTGGTAGCGCAGGATGCAGCGGGGGGGGGGTAGTTCTGTCTTCCCGGTTGGCAGGCGTTCCGTGGGCGCCTCGTGATGGGTGGGTGTGCAGAGGTTTCGCCTGACTCGGGGAAACGTAAGACTCGAGTAGGCCGGGACTCGGGCTTGCCGACTTCTCTTTCGGCGAGGCGCGTCCTGGATTCTGACGGTCCAGCTTTCGTGGGATGTCTGCAGCGGGAGCTCGCGTCAGGTACGGGGGACTCGGGTCGGCCTGACGGGGCCATCATGAAAATGACAAGGCCCAATCTGAAATCTGACGCGAGCTCCCGCTGCAGACATCCCACGAAAGTTGGACCGTCAGAATCCAGGACGCGCCTCGCCGAAAGAGAAGTCGGCAAGCCCGAGTCCCGGCCTACTCGAGTCTTACGTTTCCCCGACTGAATTCGGGAGCGGCAAAGAGGGGGGTGATGACTAGGGGGGGGGGATATCATGGCGCGGGCCATGATTTTTCCGCAGATTTCATGGCGCCTCTTCTTCTTCTTTCATTACGTCCCAGGCCCCCCCGCTGGGCCGCGCACATGCCGCCGGTCATGATTTGCACCCCCCCCTCTTGGACACCCCCCTCTTTGGCCGCTCCCGATGAATGCCTACCCGTGGGCGCCTCGTGGGCACCTCGTGCGCCGGGCGGGCGGGCCGAGGTGCCGCACGGCGTCCGCCCGGGGGGCGCGCCGCGCGGGCGCCTCCTCGCGCGGGGAGGGCGCGTGGCGGGGCTTCGCTCCCGGGTGGCAGCCCGTGGGCATGCCGTGGGCGCCTCCTGCGCGGGGCGCGCGCGCGCGCCCGGAGACCCAACGCACTGAAAACATCGGCCTCGAGGGGCCCGCCGAGGGGCCCTCGAGGTCGGCGCACGGAGGCTTTTCGCAGTCTTCGGCCTCGAGGGGCCCTCGCCAGGCCCCAGGAGCGCCCGAGGACGACTCGGGATGCAGAGCCGGTGCTGGGGAAGGGGTCGAGGCTTCCGGGGACCCCGCATGGAAAAAGTCGCGACGTCGGATCTCTGAGTGCTGCGGGGGTGTCGCCGGTGTCGCCCGGTGGCCGCCCGTGGACGCCTCGCGCGCTGGGCGCTCGCACGCAGCACACCACGGGGGGACGAGAAGTGGTACGATCAAGTCGGCCCTGTCCCCCTACAGGAGGAATATTCAAAGATAGTCAAAAAGTAGTCTGGGGACTATTTTTCATTATTGTTTGACCATTTTGTGGCATTTTTGGGTCTTTTAAAGTTGCCAAAAATCCCCTGTAGGGGGAAATGCCAGACCTAATGGTATGAGCATACAAACTCGGAGGTCCGCGCGGATTTCTCGGATCGGCGCTGGCCCCCTCCATGGCGCGCGGAGCGCGCCGGGGGGCGGCGCTGCCGCCGGGAGGCCCCAGCGCCGATCCGAGTAATCCGCGCGGACCTACGAGGTTTTATGTTTATGTCATTGGTCGTTCCCCTGCACGTGCCCTGCACCACACAGCTTGCATCAAGTCGGGCCTGTCTCTCTACAGGGGGAATCTTCAAGCACAGTTGAGACATAGTCAGGGGATCATTCGTTGGCCACTTCTTAGCACTCTTTGGTACCCGTTTGGCCAGAGTCTTGCGCACCTCCTCCTCCTCCTCCTCTTCCTCCTCCTCCTGCTCCTGCTCCTGCTCCTCTCATCAGCACCATATTCATCATCATCATCATCATCATCATCATCATCAGCAGCAGCAGCAGCAGCAGCAGCAGCAGCATCAGCATCATCATCATCAGCATCAGCATCATCATCATCATCATCATCATCATCATCATCATCAGTGTCTGGTACTTTTTAATCTTTCTTCCAAAGGCGGCCTTTAGGGGGACGGGCCCGACTCGAAGCCTGCACCGCGCAGCGTGCACCGCGCAGCGTCGGCGCAGGGCGAGGGCCTGCCCGCCGAGGCCCCTCGGCTCGGATGGCAGCGGCCCGGCGGCGGGCCAGCCACCTTTCAGGAGGGAAGCCACTAATCGTCGGTTCCCCCGAAAATCTGGGAAACTACGGGAAGTGGGGGGGAAGACAAAATCCAAGAAAAGATGGGAAAGTATAGTGAATCCTTGTATTTGTGTCTGTTTATCTGTGTGTCCCAGGGCCCCTTCAACCTTTTCTGGGACGCACCGAGACATACTAATACTATAAGTCCGCCTTGGAGGCGCGCGTCCGACCCGAACACATAGTATACCCATCTTGTAGCACATCGTGTCCCGAGCGGAGTGACCAAGAGGCGCCCGCCACGACGCATACACTGTCAGATTTCCCGGTGCGCGCGTCGCCCCTGGGGTGGGGGGGGGTGCGACGCACATATAGTATAAGTATGTTGGGGTGGCGCCGATTTTCAGCTCCTGAGGGAGCCTAGGACCGCAAGCCTGTGGGCGGAGAGCACAGGCTTGTGGAAAGGAGGAATCGAAACAGAAGCTTGCACCGCGCAGCTTCAGCCGCACAGCTGGCACCACCGACACTGGAGATCTGCAGCGCAACAGGGTGATCTGTGCGGCCCGCGCGGGCAAGCGTGTCGACGACGAATGCGCGCGACGATGGGGCGGAGAGCCACATGTTTGAGCACCGTGCGCCGCAAGATCCTTGCGGCCCAAGAGCCCGTCGAGACGAGTGTGCAGTGCCGGGGACGTGAGGCCGCATGTTAAACAAAAATCAGTCTTCCGTCCGCGTGGCAGCTGGAAGCTCCATGACCGGCGGGGAAGTCTAAGGCGAAACGCCTGGCCCTCCCCCTTCTCGGGGGCGGCAAAGAGGGGGGTGATGACTAGGGGGGGGTGGATATCGTGGCGGTGGCCATGATATCTCCCCAGATTTCGTGGCGCCTCTTCTTATTTCAATACGTCCCTGGCCCCCCCCCGCTGGGCCGCGCACATGCCGCCGGTCATGATTTGCACCCCCCTCCTCTTGGCCGCTCCCGAGACGACGAGGGGCTTCTTGGAGAGAGGAGGGATGGAGGCGAGGAGGGAGCAGGACGAGGCGCCCGCGAAGGAGTCCTCCAGCCTCCTCTGGGCCTGGTTGCTCCGAGGACGGAGTGGCTGCACTGCGTGCTGTCGTCGTGGCCCATGGCGTACTCCAGATTTCGAAATAAAAGGGAGGGGGTCTGGACCCTCCAAGACAAGCCATTTCAGACCCCCCCCCGTGGGAGAACCCTCCCAAACATCGTCCCCAGACCCCCCCAGGCCCTCCAAGATCGCCTGGAAGAGACCCCCCCCCCCCGAAATGAGACCCCCCTCCCTTTATTACGAAATCTGGAGTGCGCTTTCCTCGGCCCCTCGGCCGCGTCGGTCCTTCGGCCCTTCGCCCGGTCGTATGCCGTCTCGGCCTGTCGTGTGCTCTCTCGGGCCCTCGCGGCGCCTCGGGGCCCCGTGGTGCGGGGGGCTGTCTCGGGGCCTCCCGTGCGGAGCGCAGAGGCAAATCGGGAGGGAGAAAAGCACAGACACAATTCGTCGTCGACTCCCAGGAAGATATGCAAACAGAGGGGAAAGGGGGGGAAAGGCAGAGATCCCAAACAATGTAGGAAAATATGGTGAGTTATGATATTTGTGTGTATTTCTCTGTGTGTGTGTGTGTGTCCCAGGGCCCCTTCGGCAAAAGCAGCCGCAAGAGGATGCGTTGTCCTGAGCCTGGTGTACCTCGACCGCCTGATCAAGCGGCACCGGTGGATCGCGGTCAGCCCTTTGACTTGCCATCGCCTCGTGCTGACTAGCATTGTGGTCGCCATCAAGTTCTATGACGACACGTACTTCAGCAACAAGTTCTACAGCCAGGTTGGCGGCGTCTCGCTGACCGAGCTGAATTATCTGGAGAGGCAGTTTCTAGGTCTCGTTGACTTCAAGCTCTGCGTGGAACCTCGTGAGTACGAGCTTTATCGAGATATCCTTCTGAAGGCCGTCAACACGGGCATGGTTGGCGCTGCGCCAGATGCGGCGAAGGGCGCGTGAGGCCAGCGGTAAGGTAGCATTAGTGTCGGGCAGCGTGTTGCCAGCCAGACAGTAGCACAAAAGGCGCATCTCTTGATGCCCGCTACAGCCCGCCCTCCACCATTCTTCTTTCAGTGCAATCCAGCAGATTTCGTGCTCGTTATCTGAGCTCTGTTCGATGGGGGGAGGCGGAGAAGAATGACGAGGGAGATTGAAGAGATGGACGGATTACGAATGCGTGTGCGGGGTATGGCTGATCAGCACTGGTGCCGACTGGCGAACAGCCGGCAGAGCTGGATGCACCATGCCACGAACATCGCCACCATGATTCGCAAAAGGGCGTCGCCCCTCGACGGCACCCCGGGAAGCATCAGGGAGGCAGGAGTGAGGTGGACGCGGCTGGGGTGGAGAGGGGGAAATGTGAACGGGAGGAAAGTGATGGGGAGTTGGAGGCCTCATTGGGTGTCCGCAGCATCAGACAGGGCAGACGACGTGAAACTTAGCTCGATAGGAGCTGGCGTTGGAGGGACGGGGGTGGGTCGCGGGGATGTATCCAGAGAGTCTCGTTCACCAGGGGTGCCCTGAGCTCGATACTCTCGGCCTGGGCGCTTGGAAACTCTGACCCAGGGGGGGCTTGAAGTTTCGGTCCGAGGGCTCCGAAATGGGCATTTGGGGTTTCAGACTCGGGTGACGGACCCGCCAGCGTACCTGTCCGTCCGCGTGTACGCAGACCTGCCGGCACGACCCTCCTTGTAGCTTTTGGCGAGACCGCGCGCGCGTGTGAGGCGGGCAATAGTTATATCCACATCCAGTGCGTCTTGGATTCTTGGGCTCTCTTCCCCAGAAAACGTAGACGCACTGGATATGGATAAAAATCTGGCCCCAAGAGGCTTGTTTTTATCCATATCCAGTGCGCCTCGGCGTTGCGGCACCTCTTCCCAAAAAGTCCACGACGCTCTGGATATGGATATAAGTAGTGCCCGCATGTGAGGCAACAGCCGCCGCTGCTCGAAGATCGCTCTGCTCCCGCGGTAGTTTGGCCGCGCGGCTGGAGAGGGAGCGTGCTCGGCCCTCTGCGGACGGGAGGCCTGCGCCACGCCGCCGGCCCCAGATCCGGCGGTGACGCTGCCCTCCCTCGTCAGGAGGGGAAACACCACGCAGACACAACGAGTCGTCGACTCCCAGGGAGATGTGCGAAACTCTGGGGAGTGGGGGGGGGGAAGACGAACACCCCGAACATATGGGAAGAGATGGGGGACCTCGCTGTATGTGCGCATTGATTTGTGTGTGTGCTTGGGCCCCTTGACCTAAGCGGGCCTTCGGAACGCCCGGCTGGGGTCGGAGAAGAGCGGAGGGAGGAGCCAGGCACCCGCAGCGCCCCTGGGGTCGGTAGACCCAGCAGCGCGCTGGATCTGCAGGGCGCCTGCCGCCCCGTGCAGGCCAGCGGGCCTGCTCCGCGTGCCGGCAGTTGGGCGCTGCCCCAGGGCCGGGTATAGCCAGGACGGCCCGGTTAGCAGTTGGGCCCTGGAGCCCCTCAGTTTTCGGGGGCGGAAAAGAGGGGGGTGATGACTAGGGGGGGGTGGATATCATGGCGGGGGCCATGGTATTTCCTCAGATTTCATGGCGCCTCTTCTTGTTTCATTACGTCCCTGGCCCCCCCCGCTGGGCCGCGCACATGCCGCCGGTCATGATTTGCACCTCCCCCTCTTGGACACCCCCCTCTTGGCCGCTCCCGAAGTTTGCCAGGATCATTGAGCCAGGTCTGCCGTAGCTGGTGTTTTTTCGGGTGACGGCAGTTCCGGTTCGTGGAACGGGCGGGGGGGGCGTCCCCCAGTACACATCATTGAACCAGGTCCCACTAAACCCATTTGTGCCAACGCCCGACGAGGCTTGCCCCGTGCAGAGGGTCTCCGGCTTGCGGTGTCGAGAGGGAGGGGGAGGGGGAGGGGGGGAGGAAATGAGCTGGAGGAGGAGGAGACCGACGTCCTCCTCGACCCGCTTTCTCCCCTCGCCTCATCCTCTGAGAGGCTTCTGGGGGGGGGTAAGGAAGGAACGCGGGAGCGTCAGAGTGGAACATTGAGCATGCCCCCGCGCAAGCGGGGCGGATGTGGTAAGGCCTCAGTGCGTCCGTCTACGGAACCAGTCTCAGAATGGTGCTTATTACAGGGAAGGGCGGAGGAGACATCAGGAGGAGTGATGCGGATTTCTTGGGTTCGGGTGCAGACGCGACAGGAAGGTCGAAAACGACAGCGGGATTCCGAAGCAGGGTACCAGCGTGGTTCCAGGAGGCAGCGCATCCGAAGCATCACGACCACTGAAAAAACGTATCGCACGAGAAGCCGCGAGCGCCCGAGGTCGGAGAGACGTTGCCGGCAGTCGGCGACTTTGAACGCGTTGTACATATCATGCCAGGCGCTGTGGCCTCACGGGGGCATGGCATGCCGGTGAGGCGGCATCAGTACACTGCCTCACATCTTACCAGTCTCGACCGTATCCCTATCCCTAAGCTTGGCGCGCCAAAAGGCGAGGACAATCTTGGGGAGCCGCCCTCAAAACAGAAGGGAATCCCTGAGATTGGCATCGTGATGAGGAGATGCCCAGCACAGGGATAGGGATATGTTCCAGGCTGGTACTCCAGATTTCGTAATAAAGGGAGGGGGGTCTCATTTCGTGGGGGGTCTCTTCCAGGCTATCTTGGAGGGCCTGGGGTGGTCTGGGGACGATGTTTTGGAGGGTTCTCCCACGGGGGGGGGGTCTGAAATGGCTTGTCTTGGAGGGTCCAGACCCTCTCCCTTTTATTACGACATCTGGAGTAAACATCGGCTGTCATGGCCACTCCCGTCTCGTCCCGGCGTCCGGCTCCTCCGGGCGCGCAGCCTGCTCCTTGCTGCGGGCCTCCGAGCCCGCCCCTGGCCGCCGGACGACGTGCTCCCGGGCTGAGGCGCGACCGCGGCAGCCCTGGATCGGGGGAGCGTAAGACCCGGGTTTGCCAGGACTCGGGCTCGCCGTCGTTTTCTTGACGGCCGCGCCTCGGAGTCTGACGAGCATAGGAGTTTCGTGGGAGGGCTGCAGCGGGAGGCCCCGTCCAAGTGCAGGCTCGGCCTCGTCCTCTTTTTGTCGACCTCGTCGGGGATTTCCGAGTCCCCTGTACCCGGGTCTTTCGGGCCGGACGAAAGGGGGGGATTGGGAAAGGGGGGGTTACGAAATTTGCTGCATGCAGCTGGTTTCGGCCCCACCGAGGGGCCCGTTCCTCGATACATGGGCGCCTCCGGCGCCAGGAAAATCAGCTACGTGAGCTGATTCTCAAACCCCCCCTTTGCTATCCCCCCCTTTCGCCCGACCCGGGTCTTACGCCCCCCCCGACTGGAGTGCGCGAGAGCTCGACGAGGGCCGCACGTGTGGAGCGCGACGGTGCGACTCGAGCAACCTGCTGCCGGTGAGCAGGGGAGGCCGGACGCGCGGGTGGCCGGGCGCGGGATGGGAGGGCTTTCGTCGGGAGACTCTCCAGCGGGGGGGATCCCATGGGATCCCCCCCCCTGGGATCCTATCCCCCCATGGGATCCCCCCCCATGAAGAGTCTGCCGATTTCGTGCGTCGAGGAGGATATCGAGCAGGGACGGGCCGTCCTCGCTGGCCTTTCGGGGCCCGCCAGGGAATGTTCAAAGAACCTTTTTGTGGTCTGCGCGAATTCGGCGAGCGAGAAACGGTGTACAATAAACTGTTTCGCTGTCGGGGGCGCCTATCCTTGGGCGGCTTGGAAAGTTTATACCCTCACGGCGCCGCCGTAAGGGTATAAACTTTCCAGCCGCCCTGGGGCAGGTGTCCCCGACGGCGGAAAAGTTTATTTTATACCGTTCTTCGCCCGTTAACGAAATGCTCTCGGAACAGTTCTGTCCGAGATTGTCTCTCTGTCGCTTTGGCTGGAGCATGTTGACCGAACTGCTCCCCAGACATTTCTTAGCACACCTGGCCCTTAGGAATGCATCGGCGTTTTGTTGTCAGAACCATGCTTTCGTTTGTCGAACGCTCCTTTCGTCTCAGAGCATTGCGTGGTAGGCCCGCAGGGGTGCCGGGACGGTCGGCCCCTGCTCAATAAGAGCACTCTGCAGCAGGGTGCCAGCGCCGGAGGCGCCGCCACGGGGGGGGGGGCCACGCGTTGGCGGGAAACATCCGCGCGGAGCTCCGAGGAATGGTGTTCATGCTGCTTCTTGTTCTCCCAGCCCAGCATTCATCGCCGAAGTCTCCAGTGGCTTCTTGCGTCACCGCGCCCTGGGGAGCCGCGCAGGGAGCTCCAGGGAAGGCCCCGGTGGCTGCACTCGCATGCGGCTTCCCCCGCCAGTGCAGCGCTTCGTGGCCCCAGACGGAGCTTCACCGAAGGCCTCCGTGACGGTGTTCGCATGCGGCTTCCTCGGCACGAGGATACGAACACAGGTCGGTGACAGTAGGTATTTCTGGATCTTCGGATCCCAATCTACTTTCAGCTCCTTCCTGCTTCAACAGTCGCGTAGCTTCCCCCCTTCTTTCCTGTTCGGGGGGGGCGGAAGCCCAATCTACTGCCAACGCCCTCCTACTTCATGTTGTTTACATACTTCTGCCGACCTACGTGTATTCGGAAATGAGTTGGGCCCCCGCGCCCTCACTGTCGGCACGAAGCTGACGTGTCCGGGGGGGCGACTGGAGCTCTCCTCGTCGACACAGCTGGACCCGATGCGAAGCACAGGTTGGGATTATGTCCCAAGCAGGTTCTGGTGACGGACTTCAAGCGAAATCAGCTTCAGGGGAAAAGCATGTAGAATTTGCGGCGTTCGGTGGGCAGGAGCAGGTGGGAGTGCGTGAGGGATCTCCGCGGGCTGTGCACACGAAGTCTGCGTCTAAGTCCAAGGACCCGGCATCCTTGTCGCTCCCTTGCGGCATTCTCCCTGGAATTGCCCTGCAGCTTGGCCAGAGGCTGAACTTCCCTGATGCACGCACTCCGCCCCAAGCCCTTGCTCCGCTTCTGGAGTCTTCAGAGGTCTCTGGAGGTGTCTCGCTTGGAGGCCCCCAGAGGCCTCCCGAGGCCCAGACGTCGACGAGGGGGCGAACCAGGGCGAAGGACGTCCAGAAACCTCGGGGAGCACATCGTCGGCGAACCTGCCCATCGCCAAAATCTCCGCGGGCGACCAGTGTGCACCGTGCCGCGTTGGCGTCTCCCGACCCAAGGCGTCGTCGATCCTCTGCCCAGGAATGGTGCGGTGCACAGCTTTCGGCCCTGCGGAATTGCCCACCGTACCGACTCGCTTGGAGCTATGATGTTCCAAGTTATTTTAGCCCTGATCGCCAGAAAGAATTGCGAGCACCAAGAAAGTACCGAAACTGGAGGGTTTCCACGTGTCGGGCCCTGGGCGGTACCCGTTCGACACTGTTCCGATGCTTGCTTGGGTGCTCGAAAGTATTCTGGGATGGAAGTGCGATGGGAAGAACAGGAATTTGGAGCAAGGTCCGACGTGAGTCCAGACATCATGCGGTACATGGGCGCCGTCCTCGCCAAAATCGGCACCGAGACCCTCGGGGGCCTTGGCAGACCGCCCCCGCCCCCCAGGCCTCCCAGATTTGGGGTTTTTGAGCAGGCGTGGCCGGGGGATCGCGCCGCGTCGCCGCGGCATCGGCGATGCGTCTCGATGTGGAGCAGGCGATCGCAGACATGGACCAAGGGGGCGTGGATTAGCGACGGGTCCCGTTTCCACGGGCAATACGGATTTCCGCCGCCGAGCGAGGCGGCACCGGCCGCATTTTGGGGAGGGCACCTCCCCCGATCCATGGATTTGGCGACCGCGCGCCAAGTCCATGGATCGCTAATCCATGTTTGCGCGCCCCCAAGTTGAGCGCGATTTTCGCCACGGAGATGGCGCCGATGCATCGCCGAGGTCGCCGATGCATCGGCGATGCATTGGAGATCTGGCGCGATCCTCCGACCAATCCACTCGGACCCCATCTGCGCCGTGGGCGTTTTCGAGGGTTGGCGACCGAGGATCGAGATTCGAGGGTCTGTGGTCGGTGTCGAGGTTCGGGGAGCGGGGACGCTCTCTGCGCCGACGGCGCCGAGACATCGCCGACACCCCAGCGCAGAGACCCGCGAGACGGGGCCACCGCCCGGATCTCCCCCGGCGCTCGCGAGCAGGAGCAGGAGGGGGATCGTGCGGTGAGGCGTTTGGGGGCTCAGAGGCCACCGCACAGTCGTTCGCCGCACCGTCCTGGGAGACCCCCAAGGTGGAGAAATGAAGAGGCACCGGCACCAGCACTCTACGGATCCGTCCCGAGGTGTGTTCTGACCAGAGCTTCGAGGCGAGCCCAGCGGTGGCACTTGGAGGGCCTCCCGGGAGGCCCGCAAGGGCGAAGCCGGGGCGAGGGCAGGGGTATGGGGACCTCGGGGTCCGCGAGGCCAGCCTCGTGTTACGAGCGTTCGCGCCACGCGCACGTTCGAGACCGACGTGAGTCTATGTACACGCGCGTCCTTCGCCTCCTCCTCCGCCTCCTCCTCCGCCTCCTTCGCCTCCCTCCTCCTCCGCCTCCTCTCTCCCCTCCTCCTCCTCCTCCTCCTCCTCCTCCTCCTCCTCCTCCTCCTCCTCCTCCTCCTCCTCCTCCTCCTCCATGCACACGCGCGTCCTTCCGCCACTCCCGACCGTGGGCGGGCGCATCGGCTCGGCATCGTTCGGACGCGCGCACGTTGCTCGGCGGGGCCAGCGCCAGAAGGTCTCGACCCTCTCTGGGCACCTGAGCCGTCTCGGGGGGGGGGGCCCTGCGCCGCTTCGCGGGGGGGGGCGGGGGGGGGGGTCCTCCCGTCCCTCCTTCCTCCTCCTCCTCCTCCTCCTCCTCCTCCTCCTCCTCCTCCTCCTCCTCCTCCTCCTCCTCCTCCTCCTCCTCCTCCTCCTCCTCCTCCTCCTCCTCCTCCTCCTCCTCTTGGACCACCCTGCGAATCAACAAAAGCGCGCGCGGGACCGGAACGCGCACTCAGGATGGACGCCCGAGGGATGGCAAGCTGGGGATGCCGAAGCCTCCGCGCGGTCTGGCGGGGATCCCGAAGTGAGAAGGAGGAGGCCTCCACAGAGAGCGGCGGGGCTTCTCGGAAGCCCTGCGGCCTTCCGAGAGGTGTCCTGCGTCTTCGGGGATGGCTCAGGAGGGGAAACACACAAAAGTCATCATCCACTCCCATGAATAGATGGGAACATATGGGAAGTGGGGGGAAGACAAAAGCCCCAAACTGCGGGAAAGTATGTGGGATCCTTTTGTTTGTGTGTGCATTTGTTTGTGTGTCCCAGGGCCCCTTCAAAGGCTTCGAAAAGGGTTCGGAAGGCTGGAGACTTCCGAGCCTTCTGAGAAGGTCCGCCCACTCTTACTGCCCCCCAAGGCTCGCCGCCGAAGGGGGCCATCGCGCGACGCGCGTGGCCTTCAGGGCCACCGCGGCCGCGCCAGGCTCGGCGGCCACCTCGGGACCACGAGGGTCCACCGCCTCCCCCGCGCAGGAAGTCGAGATTCGAGGATCGAGGATCGAAGCTCGAGGATCGAGGGACCCCCCCTCGGGCGTGCCTGGGCGGCCGCTCGGGGCGTTCCGGGCACCCCCGGAGCGCTCTCGGCGAGGCGCAGCTGCTGGAGCGCAGCCCGAGGCAGGAACACCGCCGAGAGCCGCCGACGGCGCCCCTCGAAACCTCGAACCTGGAAACCTCGAACCTCTAAACCTCGAAGCCTCGAGCCTCGAAGCCTCGAAGCCTCGAGCCTCGAAAGCTCGAAGACCGCCGAGAGACGACGACGACGCCCCTCGAGATCTCGAACCTCGGAGCCTGGTTCCCCCCTCCCGGGCGCGCCGCCGAGTCCCGGAACGCCCCATGGAGGAGGAGGAGGAGGAGGAGGAGGAGGGGGAGGAGGAGGAGGAGGAGGCGGAGGAGGAGGGAGGAGGAGGAGGAGCGGAGGAGGAGGCGAAGGAGGAGGAGGAGGTAGGCGGAGGAGGAGGTGGAGGAGGAGGAGGAGGAGGAGGGAGGAGGAGGTGGAGGAGGAGGAGGTAGGAGGAGGAGGAGAGGAGGGAGGAGGAGGAGGAGGGGAGGAGGAGGAGGGAGGAGGAGGGCGGAGGAGGAGGAGGAGGAGGAGGAGGAGAGGAGGAGGAGGAGGAGGAGGAGGAGGAGGAGGAGGAGGAGGAGGAGGAGGAGGAGGAGGAGGAGGAGGAGGAGGAGGGAGGAGGAGGAGAGGAGGAGGAGGAGGAGGGAGGAGGAGGGAGGAGGAGGAGGAAGGGAGGAGGAGGAGGAGGCGAAGGAGGCGGAGGAGGAGGCGGAGGAGGAGGAGGAGGAGGAGGAGGAGGAGGAGGAGGGCGGGGCGTGCTCGGCGCAGAGCGCGAGGCGCGAAGCCCTGGGTGGCCCGGCGAGGCGCGGCCTCGCCGGCTCGCGGCCGGGAGAGGTCCGGTGCTGCAGCAGAGCGAGCGGGAGAGCGGCGGGGTTTTGGGGCAGTGTTCGGCCTCCCAGGGGCCCTCGCCGGGCCTCGGGAGCAACGTCAACAGACGGTCAGCCACGCGCAGAAGGGGTATAGGTCGGGGGCGGCAAAGCAAGGGGGGGTGATGACTTAGGGGGGGGGTGGATACATGGCGGGGCCATGATATTTCCCCAGATTTCATGGCGCCTCTTCTTATTTCATTACGTTCCTGGCCCCCCCGCTGGGCCGCGCACATGCCGCCGGTCATGATTTGCACCCCCCCCTCTTGGACACCCCCCTCTTTGCCGCTCCCGAATAGGGGGAGGGGGGGAGGCTTCTCAGGAGCACCCCTGCTTCTCAGACACGGCGGGGGCCTTGTCTGCAGATGGAGGGCGGGCGCCTTCTAAGAAGCAGCCTCCTTCCAAGAAGCCTGCCCCCCTCCCCCTACCCCCTTGTGCGCGCCGCCAAGACGACTCAGGACGAAAAACCGGCCCTCGGGAAGAAATTGGAGCGGTCGGATGTCCGGGGGGGGGGCGCGGCCCATTTGGGGCCCCTGTATCGATGCCCCTCAGAGGAAAAGAGGGTCAGAGATAGTACGGCAAGTTCGTGTCGTGTCGACGCGGCGGCGATCCAGGCGCGGGCGTTGGAAGTTCAACGCCGATCGTGGCCCAGAATCGGGCAACATCGAACGATCCGCGCTATCAGAAAGCCGCGATCGTTCAAAGTTGAGCGATCAATGGCGGCGTTGAAAACCACCGCCTGGGTCGTCGCGACACCACCCTGCCGTGCGACCCGTTGTGATGGTCGTCCTGCAGGGTGGCCTCTCTCCAGCCCGCGCCTCCTGCGCCTCCAGCGCGCCGCTCCGTGGCTCGGCGTCCACGACGCTGCCTCGTCCGCGCCACCTCTGGCTGTTTTTCCGAGGTGGTCCACCCACTTTTCTGGACTCCTGGTGTCCAGCAGGGGGTACCACCTAGCCAGCATCGCGGCAGAGCTCATGATGCCGCAGACCTGCGCCACAGCCGCCGACCCCGCTGATCTTGTCGGGGGGCTCGATGCCGAAGGGCTTTCGGCCTGGGGGAGAAGGAACAGAAAGATTTGAAGCGCACGCAGTGGCCCACACTGAAGAGGCTGCGCTCGGGGCGGTAGTGAACCTCGGTTGGGCTGCCTTGGAGTCCTTTTGGGCCGTGTGGGAGCCGTCCTAGGGCCTCTGGAGGGCCGTGTTGAGCGTCGGGAAGGTAGAAAGGCGAGAACGCCGAAGTCTTGCAGAAACCTTTGGTACATCAATGGGGTCTGCTTCTTGGGACACTCTTGGGTGTGCTCTAGAACGCTTTGTAGAGCCCCTTGGCCACTTCTTGGGGTTTCCTTGGGGCCTCTCTGGGGCCATTTCGGGGCCTCTTGGGGGCCTCTCGGGGACCACTCAAAGCCTTCTGGGGAGTATTGGGGCCGAGGACTCGAACTGTCCGTTGGGGTTCCCCGTCGAGGGCCCCAGTGGGAGTCGTTTGGGGGGGCCTCTGTGGTCGCCTTGGAGGGGTGTTGTGCTGTCTTGGGGCGCTCTGAGGCAGTTGGGGGGCCCTCGTAGAGGCGTGGTGTGCCGCCTGGGAGCAGTCTTGGAAGCCTCTTGGACCTCTCGTGGAGCGTCGAGAGGCCGAGAAGGCGAGAGCGCCCACATCCTCCTCCTCCTCCTCCTCCTCCTCCTCCTCCTTCTCCTCCTCCTCCTCCCCCTCCTCCTCCTCCTCCTCCTCCTCCTCCTCCTCCTGGGATCCCTCCTGGCCCCCACTTCACACACGACCGTTTTCCTTCCAACGACGATCGCATGGTGCTTGCCTCCTGGGAGCTTTCTGAGAGTGCTCACGACGATGCCTTTTTGGAGCGTCTTCGAGGTTTCGTCGACCGTCTCGGAGGCGAGGCGGACCTTGTTTGGGGCCTCTGAGGGCCTACGGTAGGGGAGTCTTGAAGAAGGAGCCTTTTTCGTTGGGGAGGGGCTCCGCGTTCCTCAAGTGTTTCACAGCTTGCCTCAGGTGTTCCTTTGTTTTCGATCGGACATCGAAGTTTAACTCATGGAAAAAAGGGGCCTCGTTCCTTATGTAGGGTTCCTCAGGTCAACGCCCCGACTGTATTGGTCATCTCGGAGCCGTCGGTCCGCTCTGAGGCAGCAAGAGGAGCCCAGCGAGAGAAGGTCAGACCCCCCCCCCCCGGTGAGGGCGGGACCCCCCGATTGTTCGGCTGGGGGTCCTCCTCCTCCTCCTCCTCCTCCTCCTCCTCCTCCTCCACCACCTCCTCCCCCTCCACCCCCGAGGCCTGGGAGGGGGGGGGGGGGCTGATTTCCGATTTGGGGTCCCCAGGGGGGGGGGATCAAGGCGGGGGGGTGGGATCTCACACGCCTGCAGACCTACAAGAAGTCGGGGGATTTTCCGCGATGTGAGGCCATCCGGATATTTCTGTTTTTTACGCATGATCTCCGACGGGTCTGGTCAAGTTCGAGCTCCAGCAGTTCCATTGCATCCCTCGAGCCAGTCGTAGAGCGAGGTGCGCGAGAGCTGCTGAAGGGCTTGAGCTTTGGTGCTGGAGGCACCCCCGGAACGAGTCGTGAATGCTGCGCACCCTCCATATCAGAGCCCCAGGCTTGCGAAGCAGTAGGCCAAGGCCAGTTGAGCATTTGTTTTTGATGCAGGCTTGCTCCGTCGCCTCAGACGCCTACAGAGGCTGAGATCCTTCTGGGCAATACGAGAGGATGGCATGTGATTAACAGCGGGATCACACAGGAGGAAGTCCAAGAGTAGGAGGAGGATTACGTATGGTTACGGTGAACACGCGGTTACCAATTGCAATATTGGACAATTCCAGAACTCAATTCAGGAACGCCAGCGTGTCGTAGCCGACGTGCGCGTCTGACTCCAAGAATCCGAACAACAATTTGTCGAACAGTGACCAGTGACCAATAGCATCAACTCCCACATGATGACTATGATCGCCACCTAGACTGACAACTTCGAAACACAAGCCACAAGCTGAAGAACACCTGCCCGCTTACACGAAGAGTAATACGGCCCAGCCGCCACCCACGCGTGTCCACGGGTTCCACAGCCCACGGGAAGACAGCACAGCCCATGCACCAGAAGCAAAACTCACCAACACCACGGCATGAAGATGGAGCCAGGGCTTGGCTCGCCTCCAAGCGGCATCGTAACATCCCATAGCAAACCATAACCACCCTGGTCCCTCTCGACAGGCAGGGGTCTCGGGGCAGACCTGGCCAGCCTTCACAGCACACACACACAAGCACTCGCAGCCTCACGCCGCGGTCGGCCATCATGCACTGAACGACGACGTAGGCGAATTGCAGTAGGAGAAGGAACAGCATGCGATGCAGAAGCCGAAGCGCATCACCGAGTACACTACGATACTATAGCCCACCATGCCGACGCGCCCGATGATGATAAAAAACGCCTCGAACCTCGCACAAGAGTGCCCGTTGCCACAACGAGCACCTACACGCTCCGCAGCCCGCCCACCAGGAATTTCACACGAAGAAAACCACTGGGAGCATGCGCAGCAGCAGCATCAGCATCAGTGTCAGCATCGCCATGCATACGAAGGTAGAGACGAACGAATTCAACCCGGCTTTGTCTGGAGCGCCAGGACGTGGAGCTGCAGGGGGCACCCGCACCATCCGACATCAGGCCCCGGGACAACCGCCGAGCGGCGCTGCAGTGAGACCTCTCGAGCCACCGTGGGTTAAGAATTAGAGGCGGAGGAGGACCAAGAGATTGGGGAGGAGGCGGAGAAGCAGGAGGACGAGGAAGGCCAGACGGAGCAAGAGGAGCAGCAGCAGGATCATTCAGGTAAGGGGCAGGAGGAGCAGCGCCAGGAGCAGCAGACGGGAGGATGGATGCAGAAGGGAACGAGGAGGAGGAGGAGGAGAAACAGAAGCAGGGGGATCAGCAACGGCAGGCGCGGGAGAACGAGGAGGAGACGGAGGAAAATGATCAGCAGGAGGCTCAGGAGTGGACGGCCGACGGGGAGCAGGAAGAAGTGGCTGAGCACGAAGAGGACAGAGCGATGATAGGGGGAGTTGGGGCGGGCCCTCCAGTCCCACCCTTTCTCCTCTCTCCTTCCGCCCTGCCCTCCCCCATCCTCCCACCCCCTCTCCGAGCGAGGGCGCAGGCCTCGGCTTCCTCTTCCAGCTGCGCTGCCCTCTGGCCCCCCGCACTGTGTATCCCCGCGGGCGGCGCCGGGGCGCGGTGCAACGCGAGGCCTCCCGCGACGCTGCGGGCGGCCGACGAGGCCACGCCCGCGGAGGGAGGGCCCTCGCGGAGAGAACGCGGGGCGCCATCGCTGCCTCTGCTCGCGGGGGCAGCCAAAAGACCCGCCTCCTCCTCCTCCTCCTCCTCCTCCTCCTCCTCCTCCTCCTCCCTCCTCCTCCTCCTCACTCCTCACTCCTCCCTCCTCCTCCCTCCTCCTCCCTCCGCCCTCCTCCTCCTCCTCCTCCTCCTCCTCCTCCTCCTCCTCCTCCTCCTCCTCCAAGGCCCCGCGCTCGCCTGCCCCCCCCCTCCGGCCAGTGGAGGCATAGGTTTCAGTCGGGCCTGTCCCTCTACAGGGGGAGTATCCAAAAATAGTCAAACGAATACCCTGGCGATTATGTTCGAACATGTTTTTGACCGTTTTGGAGCATGTTTTGCGTATTTTTCTGTTTCGTCGAGAATCCCCCTGTAAGGGGGACACGACCGACTTAAGAATAGGTGCCGGTCCTCCTGCTCGTCCTGGAGCCTGGCATCGTTCGGACGTGTGCATTTTTCCTTCGGCGAGGACCATCGGGGAGCATCCTTGATCATTTGGGGAAAAACCACGCACGAAACCGGAAAAAAACACAGGGAATGGACGTCCGAGCGATGGCCAGGGAGAGTCGCCGCCGTCGCGCTTCCTCGCCGCCGTCGTTGCCGTGGGTCTGTGGCCGTCCGTTCTCCTGGGCTTCGTGGCCTGTGGGAGCGCGCGCGTGGCCGGCCGGGAATCCCGCCGATGCCGCGCAAGCAGTGGCGAGGCGTCCTGGCTCGCCTACGGCCCTGCCAAGCAATGCTCTGAGAACCTCTTTGCTCAGGAGGGGAAAAAACACACAGACACAATGAATCGTCGATTGCATGGAAATATGGGAAAATATGGGACGTGGGGGGGGAGACAAAAGCCCAGAAAATATGGACAAATATGGGGGATCTTTTTATTTGTGTGTATTTATGTGTGTGTCCCAGGACCCCTTTATTTGTTGTTTCCACGAGATGTTATCCGAGCATTTCTGGTTAAGGCTGTCTTGTTTTAACACATCGGGTCAATGTTCTAAGAGCGTTGTTTTTGTTCTTGGAACATGTGTGGGTTATAAGAACATTTCGTGGTAGGACTATAGGAATGCCGGGACGCTCGGTCCCTGCTCAAGATACCGTGTCCCTTCCATCCGCTTGCGTGTGCATCCTGGCAGGCCCTCGTGTGGCCGATGCCCGATCTACCTTCAGGTCCGGCATGTCCCTCTACAGGAGGAAGACCTACAAATAGTAAAAGTAGCCTGGGACGATCATTCTACTATTTTTGAATAGTGTGGGGCTATGTTTAATTGAATTGCTTCGCTCATTCCGCCGGTCCATATTGTATCAGTGTTACTATATTGAGCGAGGAGGAGCAGGATGAGTAGGAGGAGGAGGCGGCGGCTGCGTTCCACAAGAGTTCAGCGTCTGGCGAACTAGGGGGGGAGGCAAGCGCCCCCCGTTCAAATCAGCAGCTCGGCACCTCACGCACGAGGGGCACTAGCGGCATCCCCGCGCATGCGCAGGGGTAACCAGTGCACAGCCCGTACCGAAGTGTCCCCTCGCTGAACTCAGCGAGGCGAGACTCAGTTATTTAATGGGGAAGACCCTCCGAGTGGCCCAGAGAGTCGGAACCAACGAGCCGACCGACTGTCGAGGTCACGCAGAGAGGCAGCACAGCTAAAGGTTCGACTGGTTTCGAAATCCGACTCTCAACGGCGCACAGCGCATTTTTCTACAACAACAAGGTGCGAAATGCCAGAGCGACACGAGAAGGGAGAACGAGCGGAACGAGGGGGAGGGGAGGGGGGACGCGTGCGCAGCAGGCGCTGCATCGGGCGCGGGTTCACCATGCCTTCGGTAGCGGAACGGCCCCAATGACCCGCAGTTGGAAATTCACCGCAGCGGCGACACTGGACCACACGTGGAAATCAACCTCAATGGCCCCAACGAAGCGCACGTGGAAATCCTTCACAATCACGAACACGATCCACAGCAACACGACTCACTTCGCCTGCTCAAGGATCCCTTGGCCCTCCAGCTCAAGATGACCAGGCGGACGTGGGCCTGGAAACGCCTGGCGCTTCTCGAAGCCCTCGATGGCTGCAACCAGAGCACGCTCAAACAACTCGTCCTTGATCGCGATCATCAAGCGTTTCTTCTTGCTGTCGTACACCTTCTCCGTACGGAACAGCCCCACGACATGCTGAGCCTCTTTCGGCCCAGTCTTGCATTTTCCAGGGTAGGTCTGCAACGCAGGCTTGTTCGCCTCGTCGCAGCTCTCTATCATCGCGATGACCGCCGCCGTCAACTGGAACGTGTCGGGCGGCCCCATGCCGTGACCAGCACGGCCTTTCATCCTCGGCAGGTACTCCTCCGCGTGCGCCTTGGCCATCGCACGATACAGTGCGCCTTCGACCTGCAGCTCGTTCTCCACCGTGCACCCCGCGGCTAAAAGACGATCCCGCTGGTTCTCCATGACTCCCAGCTTGAGCGCCAAATCGATCCTCTCGCGATCTCCAGACGTCTCCACCGCCCTGTACCTGACACTGCGCCCTAAAAGGCTCGGCGGCAGCATCGCCAGGGCCAGCAGAAGCGAACTGTTCCTTCCAGCTCGCCATGCCAAGAAAGACAGCAGGGGAGCACCACTTACACACAACTTCCTGGAGAGAAAAGGGATTGTCGCACGAGCGCAAAACCATTTGAACCAACACAAAACAACGAATTCATCATACTCTTGCTGCCACGGGCGGTTAGTGGGGAAGGCGTGTGAGCATGTGTTCCCTCGCCTGTTGATCATCGGAAACTCCATATCACACAGTTCACATCTATAAGGACGGCCCACCACATGTACATGCACAGTAGCCGACCCCTAGGATTTCGGACATGCCCCGCGCTTCAGTGACTGATCCAGATGTTCCGATGCATAACGCTTGGTCGTAGAAGTTGTTGCATATGAGGTATTTGTTTAAAATCGCCAGGGTTCTCGCCAGCTGTTTTTTCCCATGGTCCTCTGCTTGTGAGTTCGCCCGATACAGTAGTAATTGACTTATGGTACCGAAGGCCGCCCCGCAGCCAGGCAGATCACATGCATGTGATCGTGACGCTGGCCAGCAGGAAACACAGGTGGATCCACTCGATCCTAATCTTCATCCGCAACTGGACCAGGGTGCGAGGTATCCTCCTGCTGGGCCACCTCCCCCACCTCTCTCCTCAAACTCGCCCCGTCCCCCTGCTGCTAAAAATAGATCTGTATAAGCTCCTCCTTGATATCCTCATGCGTCCTTATCCTCCTCGTGTCATTTTAACCAGCGGGATGGGGATCTCAATGACAGCGCGGCGAACGTCAGGTTCGCAGAAGGGCGAGACAGGGCGCACTAGACGCCGAGGGCGCACATCCAACATCGGGAACTGTCGGGCGCATATCGTCACGCCCGCGGGAAACTGAGCCCACCAAAGGGTCCACTGAACCAGCCCCTGGCGGCCCCGTCGCATACCCCAACGGATCGCAAAGGTCTTGTTGGTCCCACGGCGCGTGCCCAAAAAGCGTGCCCGCCAACGGCGGGTGCCTCTCGGGGTGCCCGGTGATCTCCTTCCACCAGCTGAGCCTCTGCGCCCGAAGAGAGAAATACGGAGGCCGCATCCCCAGCGCGGTTCTGGCATCCGCGTTGGGACGGGCAGCGTGATTAGCGCCTCTTCCACCGTCGACCGTTTCAACCTTAAGACGCCCCTTGCCGCGAAGGGCCCGCCTCGCAAGCTTTGCCCGTGCGCTCTCCAGCTTCTGCAGGTCCGCCTCGGCGAGCGGGAGGCGACCAGCTCAGACGACAGAGTCGCCTCGACCATATTCTGAAAGATCATGCTTCGCCACCTCTTGTGAAAGACTTTCCCCCCAAAGCTGCCCAACGCCCAGAAGGCTGGTCTGGCGCGTTGCGCCCTGTAGTCGGCCTCGGGTCTCGAGCGCGCCCGGAGGTGGATTTTGCTGCCCGTGCATTTGGCGACGCGAGGGACCCCCCCTTCATCGAATCCTTGCCCCTATACAGCCTCCTCACACCGCAGTGGGTGCCCCTCCCCATCCAGCTGGGCCAGTGAGATCTGCTTCGCCCCGTTAAAGTGCCACCTCCCCCTCCCTCAACTCCACGCCCAGTGCGCCGAACTGCGCCGGCGACCGCGAGTGGCATTCGGCCGCGTCCGCCACGGCCAGCGCGCGAGCAATGTCGCCCGGGAACGACGAGACAGATATATCTAGATGCTCCCGCGCGCGGGCGCTGAGCAGTTGCCGCATTTCTTCCTGCGGCGCAATGCAATGTCTCAACCAGTTCAATTGTGCGCGGACCCCCCGCGCGTCAGACTCACGGTGCCTGTCGAGCGCCATATTGTGTACACGCCCAGAAACCAAACGCATGAGACGGCATCGCCAGGTAATGTCCCTTGGCCGATACCTTTCTCCACATCCCCATCGACGCGCTCGATCACAACCTGCGCGAACGGAAGGCGCTGCCGAAGAAGAGCAGCAGCAACCTCGTCACAACGCGGAGTTACATATTCCATGAGACGATGGCGATGCACATTGTGAAACGCGTTTGATGCATCGCACAGCGTTGTGAGCTGACCTATGCGAGAGCCATGCGACCTAGCAGCACAAGCGTTCTGAAGAAGCATCGCCTCTTCCACCCGCCGCCCCCGAAGATAACCGAACGCGCGCGGCCGATCCGCGTCGGCCGTAAGGGCAGGATGCTGCCCCAGAGCTGAGAATAGTAAAGTTTCCCGAAAGGGTTAAGCGAGTGCACCAGGCGCTGGCCTCTGCATTCGTTGTGCCCATTCTGCTTATCAAGCGTAAAAGCTTGACTGCGGTCCCACTGCACAGGCGCCCCGCTGTGGATCCGAATCGCTATGCAAATCCACGTGCGGCACCGCGTGCTAGCAGGAAAATGCTAGTCTGGAAAATGATCGTAGCGCTCGAGGAGCAATCCATCGGAGCACCTAAACTCGTCGGGGTTGCTCATCAGGCGCCGCACCGAGGGGGGGGGGGGCAGGCAGGAGGCGCGCGACGCAGACGCGCACGTGAGAACAGGCTCGTGAGGGCGACCATGCCATCATTAGCA